AAAAGCTACCTGTGCTGCACTCCCATCTAGATGTACAGATATGATTTAGCAGTGCTTCAGCTCAGGATAACATTTGAAAGGGCATTTTAAAGAACACTGCACTATTTGCCTACTGCCTGGTACATTATTCTAGTGACAAGGCCTGCATTTCAGATCAGCATTGCAACATGTGGCTTCACATGGGGAGCAAGGTCAAATTCAGCCCTGAAAACAGTATCCTTTATCCAGGCTTTCATGTCCAGCAAAAGCTTACACAATGCCAGGAAGGAAATATCTGTGGAGGACAGCTCTGAAGTCTGAGTCTTAGTGAGATGCAGAATTGTTAAATTAAATCAAGTCAAATTAAGACAGAGACAGAGAGGAACTGCCTTTCTAGCCAATGTTTTGGGTGATCCTATTTGCCATTAAACAGCTTTCATCAGCTCTGCTGTCTTTGGGATTTCTAAATTCATAGCCATCAAGAGGGCACAGCCGTGTCTCAGACATTTCTCACAAAGCTAGAGAGATGTATGTGAAAGCCAAGTGCTTTGTTTCAGTTCTAGGAAGAAATTTTCTTGCATTTCCAATATTGCATTTCAAGCCTACACACTGCAAAAGCTGAGAAGTTTTGCAAAAGCAGCTGGACAGCTTGAGTCTGGCATCAAAGGGCACCCCTCAAGTTTCTAAAGGAGCATCTAAATCTTTAGATGAACATTGTTATTAGCATTAACAATGTTACCTTGACCCTCAGAGGACTACGTATTGAAGTAAGAGCAAGTCTGTCAATAGTTCTCTGCTAGCTCATTTTTCTTAATTTCTGAGTGTGATTCTAACTGACAAAGATGATCTCCATAAATTACACCAAACTGGCACCTGTTTAAAGGACCAGTCCCAGTCAGATCATCCCATTTACTTCCCAGAGTCTGTAGTACCTCAGGTGCTATTTGTATTATGACACCCATTTCATTGAAGTGCCAGACCAAAACCTCTATTAAAGGTGTCTCACTCGAACGAGTCTTCACAACACAGGCTTTTGTGAAAAGTAGGGCTACACAACTTCATCATAAGAAAGTGTCAAGCAGCAAAACACAAGTAGTTTCACTGGGTTTATTTTAAGTTCTGTTGTTATACCTGATTGCTCATAATTGAAAATGTAGTCGCATCTGCATTTCTGGCTCCACCAACAAGACACTTTATTTTCTTGCTATTCTGAAGCACTCCCCAAGCTTCTGCTAATAATTTTGCTTGACCTTTATTAAAGACCAAGCATTAGCTGGCAATTAGATTTGGTGATCCCTTTGGTGATTGAGGCGCAGTGATTTACTGTAAATTATAAATAGTTCAAATGTTTCATTATGTTTATTCTTTATACAAGCTCTGTGGCCAGGTAAGCGCTGACATGACATTCACTGTTAAATGATCTCATTAAACTTCTTAATTTAAGTGGTGCAACACTTCACCTGCCACATTATCCAAGGACTCCTGCAATGCACATTAAACATTCAGCATGAATAGATGCTCTACTATAGTTCACCTTGTTGGGAGTGAAATTTCAGTCCCTGAACATAAGGTTGACTACTTTATGCTCTTTGTCAGAGACAATAAATAATGCAAATAGATACCCATGTAAAGTAAGAGGTTAAAGACATCAATAGCTTTCCCACAGGGTTTTGAAAGAGGCTGTCAAAAGAAAAGACTTTAAATAAATTAAAAATACCACTAAAATTTAAAAAGTTAAGGAAAACAAAGGAAGGTGCTGGTTTCTTTCATTTCTTTATGAATTCATTGACTGTGAGAGATACTTCTTGAGAACTCTGGAAGCATGTGCTCTTTTCTATTCACAAGCCCAGGGCTAAAGGAAGGGCAGTTGCACAACCTCCCTCCCACCTCAGAGTTTCATGTGGAGGTTTGTCTTTAGCCATTTCATCTGTCCTTTTCCTGCTTAGAACGTTTAACAGAGCTGAATGGAGTCAAGGTTGGATAATTCACCACATTATTTCACTTAGGCCAATAAATAACATATTGCTTTATGACTAAAGGGAAACACAGAAGTTTTGTTGAAGGCACCTTCACATCCAGACTATTGGCCAGCGATTTCTACTGCAGTAACAAGGAGAGGCTCATGGATTAGGACCTCCTTTGTGCCAGGTGCTGCACCTACAGACTCCACAAATGAAGCATTCAGGCGTGAGGAAGAATAATAGGGGTATATGAATTTTCCTGGCCTGCATAGGTTTTATTTTACACATTTGTAATTGTTTCCTTCACAAAATGAATAGTTCTAATATTTTTTCCCCCGTGCCTTTAAATAGTATGATCCTTAACATCTGCTTCTGGACATCTCTTCCAAAGTATGAAGGGCTCCTAGCAATTCTGCTGTAGTCCATGAACATACCAGACTGCTCCCTGGACAGATTTAGGCTTCATCATATAGTATTAACCCCACATACTGAATATGTTTTTCTGACTTAGAAGGCTGGATTAGCTTTTATTATCAGAAGAGAAATAGTAAAGGTTTCAGTGTTACAGATGGTATGGCAGATGGGAAGTGAAAGCTTAATATGAAGCAGCTCTGGATAAAAACTATTAATCCACAAAATTCATATGTTGTTATGCAGGGAAACCTAGCAAAACCCACTGCAATATGACTAACCAGTGAGAGAAGCATAAACTGCCCGCAGCCCATTATCTGACAAATCATGGCATGGAGTCTGAAAGAAGAGGAAAAAACCCCTCAAACACCCTATTTACTATTTCCTGGAAAAACAACCAGCTCTCTTTGGGGTATGCAAGGAGTAATGCCTTTCTAAAGATTATAAAGAATATTAATTTATAGCTCCTCCACTATGAAAATGAAATGGACTCATATATGTATTTGATAACATTTTCCAGGGTTTATAGCTGTAATACTCCATATTAAAAAGTCTCTAACAATACTTATAAGTCACTGTCATTGAAGTTGCAGCGCTAAAAAAGGCTTCTTACTTTTTGTTGAAGTGCATCATGGTGTGAAGGGAAAGCACGTTTCCTTCAGTTCTGGTAACAGAATACTCTGACAGAAAGAAAAGGGAGCACTTCAGATGCTGCCTGGCTGGTGAGAGCCCACCACACATCTCTGAGAGCAGCTGCAATGGAGAACCACGACCTTCGAGAATTCCCTCTCTGAAGAAACGAGTGCCTGGAATTTCTCCAGCTGAATGGGACTTGTTCAGAGCTTGAATGACTGCAAGATGCCACGGCATTATTACAAAGAATCCATTAACACTGAACTGGCTACAGCCTACTCAACAAATCCTGGGATTGTTTATGGCCATGTCTGTGAGCGACTGACCCCATCTGGCCCTGTGGTTTGAACTAAGAACAGTTCAGACTGCCACAGGTCATGGCCCCAGCATTACACACGATGGATAGAGTGGACTCAACACCACAGGATAACTGGACACATCTGCTGGAACTAGTCTAGTACTACACCAGACCTTCAGCAATTTTCTCATACAATTTATCTTCATTCAAAGTGCCATCGCCTACCTCCTCCTTTATGGCCTTGCATTAGCTCATCTCTTAGCATCAATACAGCATTCCTCACCAGGGAAGTGACCGATAGGGAATAACAAGCTAGCTTTTCCCAAAACTCAGGAGATAGACAGAGAACTACATACTCTCCCTTACAAGGAAGGATAATATGTCAAAACTGTTAAGTCTCTTTCTGTTGGACACCAGAAGTGTTTAACTCTGATGCAATGTGAAATACCGTGACTTCTTAATTCAAATCTCCATGTTCCAATATCAGTGCAATCTCAGTGACTCGTGCTCTTCCCTAATTTTTCTCCCCCAAATGCACTGCATTTCTCTGACAGTGCTTAGAAATAGGCACCAGCAATAAAGCCTTTTGTCAGTCCTCACAGAGTCCTTCCTAAGGCCTCATGTTTATTTTCATTTTTCACCTCAGTGGCGAGATTTCTGTCCAAGTAGCAGCTTCAGGAAGGGACTCATACTTTGAGGGAGATCTTGGAGAAACCTAATCAGTGGAAGCATCTTTTATATTTCTTTTCTAAGAATATTAGAACCATGTTATATCATCACTCATCAGAAAATCGCCCAAGAAAGTTACTTCCCCTTTCATTGATTTATTTCAACATAGAGGGAAACAGAAGCCATAAGGAGAATTTCCTGTTTCCTTCTTCTTAATAACTCTTACAGCCTAAACCAAACAGTTTAGGACACTTGGGGGTTTTTTTGGGGTGGGTATTTTTTGGATTTTTTGTTTTGGTTGGTTGCTTTTTTCGTTTGGTTTGGGGTTTTTTTACGGACTATCTACTTTTGCACAATGTTGTAAACTTATGGAATGAAGCTGTGAGACCTGGGTGATGTAAATCCAGAAAGAATATAAATTTCACTTAAAATCACGAGCCTTATCATGTGGTTGTGTGGAAGTTCTCTGCCTGGTGCCATCTGAATAAAGATATTCAGGCAACGCTTGGTGCTGAAGATATAATTGACTCCTAGCTAGTTATTTTTTACTTCTACAACCCTTATCCTCCACAGAAAAAGTACTAAAAATCTGAATCTGTATTCATACCTTTAACACTTGCTGAGACATCAAATCAAACTGTTAATCAGAGCCCTGGCAGGGAGGAATCTCTCCATGCCTGGGGTTTATTTGCTGAGCCCCAGCACTTCCTGCCACTTTACTCATCCTCTGTTGCTTCTTTTGCTGGAAGTATTGACTAACTAGAGCAGCCCCTCAGTGAAAGTGGAGGTCCAGTGCTGCTACCCTGCTCCAGCTGCAGTCCCTCCCAAGGAAGTGGAAGACACACAGGGTACAGTAAGGTGATTGTCTCCTTGGCCTAAGTGTGGCTCTCAGACACCTGCTTCACCCAGGGGAGTCTTCTGCTATAAAACAAAAGAAACTGCCCCTCTGACTGTGCTTCTTGCAGCACAGCCTGGACATGTCATCTCTTATATCCATACTTATTTCCTTCAGGAACAAAACATATACATTCTTAAAATGCTTGTTGTACCTGATTGGGTAGTCGGCAGCACTGAGGTTAATGAAGAAATCCCACGGCCAGTCATTCATCTCCATTAAGTCCCTCATGGTCTGCAGGTAGGTGGACAGAAGACTTGCTCCTCCCCATATAGTTGCCATTCTCCAAGAAGTGACTCTCACATTTGGGTACTGGCTGGCAAACTGGAGCACTTGCCGATGCAAGTAATTGGATCGCTTTACAGGAGAAAAAAGTAATACATTCAAGTTATTCTGTCCAAAATTTTCTCTCCCTGTATTCACTAACCACCAACCCTACTTCCTGACTCACCGAGTGCTGCCACTGCTTTGCCCTCACCTACTATAGTATAAAACCTTCTTTTGCTAAATGCTTATTTGCTAAATGTACAGAGAACCCTGTTTAATTCATTTTATTACAACTACAGTAATCACTAATCAGTGTGATTAGCTCTTATTCATCATTTGTCATTGTAGATCCCAAAGGGCTTTCATAAAGGAGGTGAATGTTACCACCTCCCTTTTACAGTGTGTGACTTGCCTAAGGCACCTCAGGCCATCACCTCAGTCTGCATCAACTTATTGGTTGCTGCTAACTAAATGTACAACAGACAGACATGGAGAGATACTCATTGACACAGAAGGAGAAATGAAGGCTCTTACATAAAGAAGATAGAAGAAAGAAAAATAAAAAAAAAGAGGCTCCGAACATGTAACAGATGAAGAGACAAAAAGTGACGTGCACTTTATGCAGCAGAGGTAAAGAGAAGATGAAGAAGATGACAAAGATGGGTAAACTGACAGATGGTGAGACAGGCAATTTATAACCAGTGATATATTACCTTGTCAACATGAATGTAATAAAAATGGTCTTTATGGTAAATAGCCTTAAACATGCGCTGGAGCTGCCGAGAAGCTCTGCCATGAACAACCAAGACAAATGCGATCCTGACTGGGTTGGCTGGCATGTATTCTACGGAGTCGTCATCCCACTGTACATTGTTGTTGGCTTTTCCTGTTCAAAAACAAAACACAGGACATCTCTGAGTGTATCCACACGGCAGGGGTGCAGTGAGCAGTACACATTCCACCTCGGCTCTCTCTTCAAAAGCAGTTTCTATGGCAGAGCAAGAACTCACAAGGGGTGCCAGCCTGCGCCCCATCAAGATCATACCCCTCTCCTCTGTCCCCATACAGGGCCATCACCCCTTGGGCACAGCCATGCCAGCCTTCCCCATGCAGCCCTGCCTGTGTGCCTCATCCTGAACAAGGCTGCATGAACATGGGCAAGTACCCAGGTGTTTATGAGTTGGACAAAGCTCTACCTGAGTACGCACATTTGTACCTTCAAAGGAGTCACCTCAAAGTTTCTAAGCACTCTTCAAAATATTCAAACAATGTCAAAGCCAACATTACCCCGGAGTGAAACCCCCTTTTTGGCCAAAGCTGCTTGTTCCTCTGCTCAGCACAGCTCTGCTGAGAAGCAGGTGAAACTCTGCTACTTAACAGCTGCTGAGGATTATTGACTGATAGCATTTACTCCTAACAGCAGATGTATCCTGGAACATTTAAATGGCAACATGCATATTTTCACTACTTCATGTAGGAGAGGGGCTCTTACAACCCTATTTAAAATTTATGTTCATTTTTTTTTTTCATGGAGTAATTTCTGGTCCTTATTTTGTAAAGTAAGTGCCACAGTGCAAGGTTCAGACAGGATATATTGATTAACTGGAGAACTGGAGGGACATTTTCAATAAAGAATTTAAAGTGCTTTGTTTTTGGTTTATGTAACTGCTCTTCAACTCAAAAACCCGGACTTAGTGTAAGAAAATCATAATTTTATCTGAAAACTGGCATTCATTCTTCAGTTAAACAACGTCAAGTGCTCTGACCTTGTAAGGACCTTTTTCAACAAAAATGGTTTAGACAGAATCTGAAATTTTGAATATTAGCAGAAAAAGGAAGCAAAGTACCTCAAAGCTAAAAAAAATTCCTCCTGCCTCAATTTTCCTCTTGCATATTTTAACATTATTCTTTTTTAAGTGAAAGGGATATCATTGTCTCAAATGTTCCTTAGTGTGTGTCACCCCTGCCGAAGGTACAATTTTTCAAAGCCCTCAGATCTGAGTTGTTAACCAGTTTCTGCACTTAGTGCCTTTTGTGATGCCCCCTTCTCCTCCCACGTCCACGTACCCCCCATCTGAAGACTCCTTTTGCAGACACAATAAGCTTGCACTGTGTTACAGGACAAACCTGAGGCTGCACTTGGGCACAGTTATCAGACAGCAGGAGTACAGCCACAAACTCCACTGCACCTTCCAAAACATCTACAGCTATTAAAAACACATGCTTATGTCTGTGTGATTTGACATAAGGAACAAGAAAGACATTTGCCAAGTGTGAAGTGAGAGTAGGAGAGAGGGAAAACACTTTTCCACAGGTTTTTGAAACTGGAAGCATATGTTGATCAAAGTAAGCAATACCAAAAGCTTTCTTTTTTGTTTGTTTTGTTTGTTTTCAAAATTATTAGTTACAAAACGAAGTCTGAACACACAGAAAAGACCTTTGTCTGATCCCTCCTGTGTATCTTCTCCTTGTTCAAAGGAATAGCATAAAGTCAGAAAAAACAGACCAATTGGCAGTTTGCAGAGCACCGTTTCAGGTGATGAAACAATGTGATCCCCTTAATTGTAATGAAATGCCCTTGAGTAATTGAAACACTTCTTTTAGACAACCACGAGACAGATCCTGCTGCAATGGGAGCAGCACATTCCAGAAAGGAATGGTTTCAACGTCTCCCATAACTCTCCCTTCAAGTTCCTTCCTCCTCAGCAGTGTTCCCCTAGAACACTTGTTTTAAGTTAGAATCTGTTCTTTCCATCCTGGAGGTCCAGGAAACTGTACAGGTGAGTAAGAGGTACAGCAAAGAGAATCAGGCTCTTCTCTGGACTATGTAAGGGGCTAAAAGGCAGCTGGGTCCCTCTCCAGGAACATACACAGATCCTGAACACTAAAGAGCCTACAAAGTCCCAGAGGTTCACTGCCCCATGCAGCAGACTGTTACTGTCCACAATCCTGCACAGAATACCAGCCTGCAGTACCATTGCTCATAAATTAATGCAACTTTATTCCCCCCAGTTGTATTCAGACTAGCCACATCTAGCCCCATGAGTCACTCAGCTTCAAATGGGACACAAACAACTTGCATGGGATTTCTTTAAAAAACCCTCCACCACCAGTTCAGTAAGAATCAGATGAACATTAAAAAATTAAAAATAAAGCTTAAATTTAATTCCTTCTATATTTTCATTTTGTGTATTATGGCCATTAGCCTTTGCCCAGTTCTGCTGTTTCTCCTGAGCAGCTGATGAGCTGCCCCATGCACGTGCCTAGGATTTCTGCACGGTGACAGGGACAAAAAGGGACTCTGAGAGAAAGAAAACGTGCTTGCAAGGAGAACTGACAGGGCAATTGCAATTGCTAAAACAAGCCATTTTTCTTTTAAACTGCTTTGATTTCAAGCTGATGATGCCCCATCAATGGACTCAAATATTTTTAGTGGTTTTCATTACATTTTTGGATACCTCTCTTCTGAAATCAGTGGCTTTCTGCAATGATACGTAGAAGGTGAGGGGAATTTAAAATAGGTATATTGTAGGTCTTTTATTTTAAACCAACTTTCCTTCAATACCCACACTATCATTTATCTAGCAATTACTGAGAACAAAATCCTCCCGAATTTTCACCTGAAATGCCACTTCACTTCAATGGGTTTCTCTAATAAATTCCTGCAGTGACTTATTTTGCTGTCTGCTGTTTTCCTCCTCTCACCTCTTCTTCCATGCGCTCCTTTCTTCCTTCTCTTTTAGGTTTAAGTTTTTATACTTTCATTTGCGACCCGCATACTATTACGACTTCTTTAATCTAATCCTTTTCTTGGCTGCCTGGAATTTCAAAAGGTAAGAATGTTATACTTTTTCCATCTGTCAGACTATCTGCTACTTTGCTTTATACTGTCACTTCCCTGGTTTTAGCTTGTGGCTGCTTAGAACCCTTTATTTTTCAGACTGCTTCACTGACAAAGAACCAGTCTGGTTTGCAAATAAGATGAAACTGGAAGGAAACATTCAATTGAGTACCTGCTTACTAAAAAATACAGTAGGACTTCAGAGCTATATGGGCAATGTTAAGACCTGAATAGCTCCATCCATTTCATTTCTATAAAACCTGTGCATACCAGAGAATTCATGGGCAGCTCCTTGCCTGCAGCACTCCCTCTTCCCAGCCTTCACAACACTTGTCACCTCTCCACACGCCATCGTTTGCCTTTCCAAGAAAAATGAGTCAAGCCAACACAAGAGAATTCCCACTTTCTCCTCTTGCACGGGTCACCTGGGCAGTCTCAGTGGGACTGGAGCTGCACTCCATCTCACCTAGAAAGTTTCTCTGAGCGTGGGTGTTGCCTGTTGAGTGAAGTTTCCTATGCCTTTAGGGAATTCCCTCTTTCTGGGATAACTTAGGCAGATTGGTGTTTTATAAATCATAATAAAAAGCCCACAATTTAATAAAAAGTAAAACAAAAACTGTGAAGAATATGATTGCTACAGTTCCATCTTGAGAGCACAGCTCTACCCTCAAAATAGCTTTGCACAAATGAGTGAGTGGGGAGAGTGAACGGAGCATCCTCCTTATGGTCATCTGGCACAGGTGAAACAGTAGCTCTGGCCTGGAAGCAGGACTTGTTGCCTTAAACTTCCTCAAAGTTTTCCATTTCATTAAACAATGGAAAAGGTGGACAGAAGAGCGACTTCTCATGCTGCCTTGCTTCAGAGAAACTGCCACATGGAGCCTCAACAGAAGGGGCAGTGCTCACCTAGCTCACAACAAACATTCTCTAGCCCTTGTATCAAAGTGTATTTACTGTGCTATCCTACACTGAACACAAACATGGCACTTTGATCTGTGACCAAATGTCTTTCACAAACTTACTGAGAAAAGAGAAAGCTGCCTTTTGGCTTCCTGTTCAAAGCCTGAAAGGACTGGCATAAATGTGTGTTAGCAGGAAAATCCGTACCTGGTTTTGTAGATAACACGAGAATCTCAGCTCCAGTGCAATTTCAACCTGCACTTTCTAAAGCCCAGAGAAATCAATACTCATAATTAAGAGTTTAATCTTCATGTATTGCAGTATTACTAAATGCCAGAATAATGAAGATGGTGCAATCATTTTCATATTTATTGTGATGCCACATTATGTTCAATCATCCACCAATATAACTCAGAGCTAACCTGCTAATCTCTTACTTCTACTGCTAATTAATGAGATTAGACTTCTCCAACAGCACAAAGTAATCTTTTAATCAATTTTGTGAGCCATATTATGTTTTTTAAATCAATCCATCAAATTCTGTTCTCAGTTTGGTATTGTCCTGGCTGTTCAACAGGACACCCCTGCACAGACATACTTGGGTGCTGCTGACTTCATCTTAACACAGCTGTGTGTGTATACTGTGCCTTGATCCATGAATCAATGGATAGAGGACATCAGAAGAGTTATTGCTGTGTAGTTCAGCCCACTATTTACTGCTATTACATCCATAAATGCAATCAGAAGCCCTGTCATTATAGCAGGAGTATGAGCCATAATCACTCCAAAGAGGCAGAGCTCTGCAGTCCCTACTTAAACTCACATGAGCAGCCTCATTCCCTTCAGTGGGACCATTTCTGCAACAGCCAGCTGAGTGGTAGTTGCTGAACTCAGATTTCCACTATAAACTCCTTTTCAAATGCTCACAACTCATAACAACACAGTAGGTTGAAAATTTCCAGGCTCGGCTTTCATCTGAAAATGTTTTCCATTTTGGTTAGAGCGAAACCAGTTTTGCCTTGTTTGAATGGTGACAAAACAAAACACAACAAAAAAGGCAAGACAATGTTTTCATTTAGAGAACACAATTTTTTTATCAGACCTAGTAATAGAAGTAGCTGGAGTTATATAAAAACTATAAAAAA